GGAGGCTTCGTCATGCCTCGTGCTATCTTTTTTAGCAACCATTGGAATTGCCTGTAGAGACTTAGAACCAGTAGACTGAGGAGTGCAATTTGATTGATAGTGCTCCATGACAATTTGATCAACATCAATGTTCTGGCCAGGCATATTCAATGTAATGAAAATCAGTAGGCAGTATCATTCGGAAACTTAGATGAGAAACGATGAACAAAAGCTTATGATTTCGCATGGTGGCTATTATTCTGCTTAGCCATTTGACTAGGCACCGTAAAACTTGATTATTCACGATTTTCTTTTTACCTTTAGCACTGTTTTCACCACTAGTCCAAATACCATGTGTTACAAATACAGACTGGTTTATAATGCAACAATAAATGTGATGGTAGCAGCTAGCAGTTAATGGCCATTATATGTTGTTTTAACATTAATTAAGCTACAGACCACCAAAAAAAATAAAAAATATGCCTCATTATTTAAAATTAAGAAGACAGAAGCAAAAGGTCTTCCAAAAGCACCTCTTATATAACAAGATCAAGTTATGCGTTAGATTACCCCGAGAATATCATCGTCATTTATACCATCAGTAACTGCCCCATCTAGCTGTTTACTATCACTTGTTGAATTGACATTGTGATGTTGTGAACCTTCAGGAATTGGTGTAAGAGAACTATGCAACATTATTGTTGCCTCTTTCTGTTTTTGGCCATAAATAGCTTTCTCAGCTTCAGCTGTATGGTGCATTGGAGCTGAGGCAACGTAATACCTTGTGGGATTACCAGCTTTGTCTTTGCTTTCACTAACTTTGTGATTCCATTGCTGATTTTCAGAGAGCTTTGTGCTGCTATCATAGGACTTCTCTGATACCACACGTCTTCCAGAAAACTGAGTGGCATTTACATTTTTGAGTGGCTGCACAGTTTTACCAGGCTTGACATAGTTTCTGCAGCCAAGCTGAAGGCTTGAGAGGGCCTTCCAGGCCTGCCAAAAAAAATCAAACAAGAAGTTTGGATGGTGCCCAAATTGTGAATAATATACCTTTATAGTTTATAATCCGTAAATATTAACTGAAATCCTGGAGCAGAGAACATAGCCTACACTCCCTCCTCTTACCTATCAAGCATCAGACTCCCATGAAGATCAGTAAAGGTAAACAACCAAACTTCTATAAGATAGTAAGAGAGCAGAGCAAAAGTTGCTCCCAAAAACGAGAAAGAATGGAAAATCAATTATACAAGTATATTATACATAACATGAATAATCAGTGATCAAATCAAAGAGAAATAAATTTCTAACATAAAAGACTTGATAATCAATGGAAAATGACATCTAATCCAGACACCAGTACATGATTCATTAGTAAGCAAATCAAAGAGGGATAAAAAAGATATAATAAGGACTTGATAATCAATGGAAAATGACACCTAGTCCAGACACTAGTTCTAGTTAGGAAGAAATTTACCTGTTCGACCTGTGATTTGCCAATACTCTGAACTTGGAAGCTCATCATCCTAAGAAGGAACATCAAAAAAAACCCATGAATATGATGAGCATATATCATTTTTAACAGGTATAATACCAATATAATGTAGTAGCACACAAGGATAATTCCAATATATTACAGACTAACAGCAGCTTTATTCGAGATAACAGTAGATACGAGTAAACATGGGCAACGGGCCGTGCCGTGCCGCCGCGGGCCATGGTGGGGGCCGTGCCGTGCCGTGCCTGAAATTGGCACACCCCAGCCCACGGCACGGCCCACGTGCCTTGCGGGCCGGGCCGCGGGCCAAATCGTGCCACCCTTTTTATTTTTTATTAAACGATATATATATATTTTTTAGTACAACTTAATATATGTGATTAATTTATGTTAATGTTAATATAATTTGTTTACATTTTTTGAACAACTTTATTTTAATTTAGGTTATATAAATTATTTATCTAATTAATAATTATGTTTAAGTTTATATAAACAAATAAAAACAATTTTATTAATTTAGCAAAAAACAACAATGCATATAATAAAAAAAAATACGAGTGCGATAATCCGAAAACACAAAAAATTGAAGAATAACTTATTTTATTATATGACGGTAGCCGGTACGATAATTTAATAATACAAAATAATTAAATTATTTTATTATATGGCGGGCTCGTGCCGTGCCCGGCCGTGCCGGCGTGCCGGCCCACGTGCCGGCGTGCCGGCCCACGTGACGGCCACCGTGCCGCCCATCGTGCCGCGTGCCGTGCCCGTGCCAAAACTATTTTTTTTTGTTCACGGCACGGCCCACGGCCCACAGGTGGGCCGCCGTGCCTTGTCGTGCCGGTGGTCGTGCCGTGCTGGCGTCGTGCCGGGCCCGTGTCGCCCGCGTGCCGGCACGGCCCGTGCCCACCTTTAGATACGAGTCAATCTAAGGGCATCATACTATACTGTCACAAGCGCACAAACACACAATAAAAGCACCAAAGTTGAAGCAACAAAATTTAGCAGACTATTGATGCTGCGGGCATTTGATTATTTTATAAATGAATCGAACATCATACTTTCTGAAATTTCTAGCAAACTCGAGAATTAAATGAATGCATACATAAGACGGCAAAGGTCATAAAGTGTCACCTCATATCACTTTAAAACTCGCCCATGTCACTCATAAAACCCGCCCCATGTCAGTACCATTTTACCCTAGAAGGCTAGAACTAAACATTTACTATAAACTTCTTAAGTTCTTCTTTTCAAACTATCAAGCACCGATACATCCAAAGCACAATAAATTCAACAAAACAAACCCTAATTACGCTACAACAACCGGATCAATTCGACAAAACAACGTTGACAGCAATTTACCTTCCTTCAGGAGGCGGCTTCTGTGAAGGTAGCGAAAAAAGAAAACTTGAGGCTAAGAACTCATTTTGAGTAGCAAAATTATTATGTGACTTCACATGCTCAGCCCAATTAACTTTAGGAAGCTTATTACTGCATTCTTTCCCAGCAAAAATATTCTTCCCACTGCATTACAGAAAACCTAAATCAGCAATTCAGCACCATTTTTCCTCCAATTTCACAAAAATCACAGTACCCACAAAGATTAAGCATTACCTCATAATTTATAAGCTTCAATTTCGTCATGAATTATCATACCCATTCAAAAATCCACCATAAACTGCTACTAATTGAATAAACAAATACATTCAGAATAATGGGGAATTCGTCAATTTCAAAACCCTAATTGCAATATCAATAAATTAAATATCGAGGGGATAAAATGATTATACTTACTTGTTAGCAGTGCCTCGAATTCATAAAATAAAATTGAGTTATCTGATGCAGCTGCTGGTATAGTTGAAACAGAATCGTTTACAATGATTCGTGATTTTTGAATAAATTCAGTTTATTCCTAGATTTTTTTGGGGAATAATTGAAGTTAAAAATATGGATTTTGAGCAGAAATTAGGGTTTATACAGTTTAAATTTGTGAGATTGAATTGTGGAAAGTGAAGGTTTGAGAAGAACAGCGAAAGGGGTGGAAGAAAATGGAGGAGATAGAAGGTAAAAATGGGTGTAATGAATTGGGCGGGAAGCTGCAAAATTTTGAGAACGTTGGAATTTGGAAATTAGGCAGTTTTGTGTGAACGACCCGAAAAACGTTATTCTCTCTCGCTAATATGGGCAAACCGGTCCAAACCCGAAAATGGACCAAATATTCAGTTTGGTTAGGGCCGGCAATTTCACCCGATCTGATTATATAGATGGTGGATGGATCGGAGTCGGATTCAGATGGAGCATCGTCCATCAGTCCCACCCGTGTCATCCATCCATTCTTATTTTTTAAAAGAAATTTCAAAAGTTTATTTACCTATATGTTATACAAGGATATATTTTATATTGAGAAATTTAAAGATTTTGTTAATTATATTTCAAATTCTTAGTTTATGTTTATTAGTATTATAAATAAACAATGATATATTTTATTTCACCCATCATTCCCCCGATTCATCCGCGGGTGATGGATGGATTGATTGTGAATGAAGAGTTGAATGGTGACAGATGGGTTGAATGACGGATGGAGGTGGATTGAGCTCTACCCAATCCACCTCCGATCCATTGACAGCGTAGGTATGGTTTTATATAGAGGAGTCTATCATTTTGGCCTTGAATCGAACATGTCTTTAATAGATATTGTAGATCTGTAGTTAACAACTTAAAAAGTAAGAGTACTCTCTCCAATAGTATTTTACTTGTTCTAGTACTATATGTACTGGATACATACTTGAATTTTTTTAATTTTTTAAAAATGTACTCCTACAATTTATGGTAGGAAAAATTGTCATTACAATCATTAAAAGTATGTACTCCCTCCGTTTTTAAATACTTGCTCCATTTCTCTTGGACATGCATGTCGATGCTAATCTTTTATCACTAATATCTTTAATTATCAATAAGTATAAATTCTAACAATTGAAAATTAATAATCTATTCATTGAGATGATTCCAACAAGTACCCACAAGACTATATTTTTTCTTATGTATAAATCACAAACATTAGTCAAAGTAGGACAAATGAATAGTGTAAAAAATAGAAATAGAGCAAGTATTTAAAAACGGAGGGAGTATTTTGCAAATTGTAGTCCAAGTATGCTAGTACTAACTTGTCTATTGTCAATCAATTCTATTTTTTCCTCGATTTGCGTGCAAAAAAAAAACGTGTTAAGGTTTTAGGGGGTTATTTTTTAGCTTGAAAGTGGCAAAAAAAATTAACGCAATTGCCTCTTGTAACTCATCATTGGGACACTTTATAGCCAAAAAAAGTGGTGTACCTTAAAAATTGATGTTGGCCCTTGTAACTTACCGTTAAAGATACTCTTATAAAATTACAGAGGAAATATTGTTTTTAGTTTTTTTTAAAAACAAAAGGCCAAAATGGAAAATAAGAAAAAAAAATGTTTCCACTTTTCATTTTAGTTTTCAAAATTACCCTAAGTTTAATAAATTTGACTGATTTTTTTAATTATTAAGTGACAATAATGGTATGATTTTGAAAAAAATAAAATAAAAACCACAGTAAAGTCAAATGAACCATTATTTAAATGCTTCTTTCTCTTTCTAACAGTTTTCAGCACAATCATAAACTCACTTCCGTACTTCTACTATCTGGGCCCTACCTGGGCCTTTGCCATGATAATTGATAAATAGCCCAAACTCAAATCTCGTGAAGAAATTAAATGCCCCAAGTGCAAAATTAGTCCTTCGTATCCAATTTATTTCATTTTCATTTCATTCTCGTGAGTCCTTTATTACCTCTCAAACTTCTGCATGCACATTTACTCCACCTTCATCCACATATATATAAACGTTACACCCTACTAAATTACCAATTTCTCAACCTCAAACTCACCAAAAAATTTAAAATACTCCCTCTCTTAAAAAAATATGGGCTTTTTTCCTACACTACACACTACTACATTACTCATTCTCTGTCTCCTAAATTTTCCCTTATCCATTTTACCATCTACCGCTATAATGTCCGATTCCACTCCCCCATCGGCCTTAGTCGATGCCCCTCAATTGGGTTTTACCATGAACAAGAACGGGGCTCGTACTGATACTCATGAACAAAAGGCGGTATATGATATCATGATAGCTACCGGGAACCCATGGGCAACTGAAATACCCGACGTGTGTCGTGGCCGTTGGCACGGTATTGAGTGTATGCCTGATAAAAATAATGTGTACCATGTGGTTTCCCTATCATTCGGGGCGTTATCGGATGATACCGCTTTCCCTACGTGTGACCCGACCCGATCATACATATCCAAGTCCATCACCAAGTTGCCTTATCTTAGGACCTTATTTTTTTACCGTTGCTTGAGCAACACCCCTCAGCCCATTCCAGCTTTTTTGGGCCGTTTAGGCCCATCTTTACAAACATTAGTGTTAAGAGAAAATGGGCTTGTTGGCCCAATTCCAAGTGAGTTGGGTAACTTGACCCGGCTAAGGGTACTCGACTTGAGCCGGAATAATCTCAACGGGTCGATACCGTGGTCTTTGGGTCGGGTTATTGGGCTAAGGTCATTGGATTTGAGTGGGAATAGGTTAATGGGCCAAATACCCAATTTTACGCTCCCTTCTTTGAATGTCTTAGACCTTAACCAAAATCTATTATCCGGCCCAATTCCTTCAAATATTGGGCTTAGCCAATCTCTAACCAAAATGGACCTTAGCCGAAATAGGCTTTCTGGCCCAATTCCAGATTCAATCTCGGGCCTAAAAGACCTTATTCTAATGGACCTTAGCTTTAACAGGCTTACAGGCCCATTTCCAAATTCTTTCAAAAACCTTGATTCTTTACAAGCTCTAATTTTAAAGGGCAACCCTATGATATCCACTATAATTCCTAATAATGCTTTAGAAGGCATGAAAAATTTGGTCACTTTGATACTATCCAACATGAAGTTGCAAGGCCCTATCCCTAGCTCCTTGGCCCGACTCCCAAAAATTCGGGTCATCCACATAGACGGTAACGGGCTAAACGGGTCGATACCGGATAGTTTTCAAGGCTTAAAAACCCTTAGTGAGTTAAGAATAAATGATAACCAATTAAGTGGACCGCTTCCTCTAGACAAGGATATGTTGTGGAAAATGGGCAGGAAACTTAGGTTGTACAATAACTCAGGGCTTTGCTTCAAGTATGCAAACAATGGCGATTTCGCGGGTGATTCGGATTTGTTGATGGAATGGGGCATTGGATGCTGTAGTGTACATAGAGCAGGCATGGCAAGATCAGTAGAGCATACACTAAAAAGTAGGAACAATATTGTGGAAAATATGCCAACATTAGTCAATAATTCATCAACAATAGTCCATAAATATTGGGTGCTTCACTTGTTATGTCTTCTATTTGTTGTGTGGTCATAGTCTTATAGAAGTGGTTTAGAAATGTTTTTAGCCACTTATAGTGTGTATATGCTTTGTATATATAGTATAGTTGAATCAAAATATCTACTTTGCTCTATAATAGATTTGTGTAATTCTTTGTTCTTTTTGTCTAACTGCTCACTTAATTCCTTTAAACTGAACGTGTATAATTTTAGCCGATTCACTATTGTAACTTTCTTTTCATCAGTTACTGACTTTTTACTGAACTTAATTCATATTTACTAATATTTTTATTGACATAGAATTATTTTTCCTTACTATTAATCCGAGTATGTTAGTTAAGACTTTTGATGGCGTGTTAGACGATATCATAATATTAGGACAATGCGTGGGATAGAACAATTAGTCAATGTCGTCTCTAAGCTAGGAAGTCCATGGACTAAAAGGGCTATGAATTTCATAATTAACATCATTTGTCGAAGATGATTTGGAATTTTGCTTATTATTGATACTTTATTGTAGTAATTCAACGGGCAAGTTTTGGTATGAAATTGGTCTACACCTTTTATATAGTATCATTTGTACACGGTTTCTAGGTCACGAATTCAACACCAAACCCAATAAAAAAACAAGAAATCTTGTTCTTATCTATCCAAAATTCCAAATCAAATATTCAAACCAAAATCACAACTAAGAGTCTGTTCTCTTACGTTAAAATTCAGTTCAGTTCAGCTCAATTCAGCTTAGCTCAGCTCAGCTCAGTTCAGTTCAGTTCAGCTCTTAATTTCCTTCTCTTATAAAATATTCAGTTCAGTTCAACTCAGTTTAATTCAGTTTAGTTCACTTTAGCTGAGTTCAGTCAATAAGAACAACCCCTATTAATGGAATGTATTACCCCAAACATCATACATATCTTTGTATACTTGAGGATATAACTTTGATTTACATGCAATCCCTGAAGATATATATAAATTAGGAAAATGTTATACATAGCCTTTAGGGCTATATATAAGCATTAAATTTACACTTGAAAATCATAAAAAGTTAAGAAATCATCACAATATAAACACTAATTACACTAATTTACCAGTGTTTTTGTCATGAAATTCCTAATTTTATATAATTTTCAAGAATATATTTAATGCTTATACATAGCCCTTATGGCTACATATAACATTACCCTATAAATTAAAACATTACTAATTGAACGCGTAATTTATCATTTACTTTTTTTTTTCTTTCTAAGTATTTTCTAAATTCTATAGTAAGCCTTACCGACTTATATGTAATTTCAAAATAATAATGTTTTTTTTTAATTTTTTTTTTATGTAATTTTACAAGATCTCACCGTTGTAATCATGTTAATGGAACTTTACCAACAAACGCATGATATTATTCACATATTTTTATTACCACACAAATGGCACAATGCCTCTCCATTTTGATAATGTATGGATTGTAGTAATTTGTGAAGAGAATGAGGTATTTGGGGAGGGATTAGCATTAGTGTCACCATGGACATTGACATGAAGTTTTCATCACAAAACTACTTATAAAATCAAAACATAACCATCATTACCTATTGTTTATTACCAACAACGTAACCAAATAGGTTGTTAGAACTATATTAATGTAATAATGTTGACTTAAAATAGATTTAGATTAAAACTAGTTTTTGGCCCGGCAATGCCTAGGGTCATTATATGTATAATTATAAATGAACTTTTATAATAAAAATTATGTGCTAAAATATAAATATAGATTAAATTAGTTACAAATACTTCAATACGAGCTACTCATAATATTTTTAACTAAATATTGTAAACATGAGATAGACCATTGAAGTAGTGATTAATGGTGAAGTGTAATAAGGGTCTGTTCTCATTAACTGAACTCAGTTGAACTGAACTGAGCTGAACTGGACTAAACAGAATATTTTATAAGAGAAGAAAATTAGGAGCTGAACTGAAAATAAACGTATGAAAACAGGCCCTAAGCATAAGGTCATAGGTTCAATACAAAGCATAACAAATACTTCAATACTAAGCATAAGGTCATAGGTTCGAAAATAAAAATCACATAAATAAGTTAGAAAATAACAACGTAAAACCAAATTATGGACATAATACAAATTCAAATTGAAAGCTGTCATTCTTGGCAGCATATATTAGTATAAATAAATTATAGCACCAAGTGACCAACAACAGCGCAAAAGGAAAGAGAGACAAAAATTAAACAAATAAACAAAATAATTAAAATAAACAAATCAATTGAATTCGAATCCAAATTACTTTTTTTCTGTAAAAACAAAAAAAAATCCTCTTTCTTCTCCACTTCCAGCTTAATAGCTGCCTGCAAGTCGTTAGAGAGAGAAAGAGGTATAGAATTGCTTCTAAGAGAAGAATTTGTCTTTTTTACAGAATAAAAAAAAAAAAAGAAAACCCAGAAAAAGGAAATTTCCACCACTATATATAATCAAAAATTATTTTTCTGGGTTTTTTCCGTGTAGTGTGAAATGGGTTTCAATTTCTTTTCTGGGTTTCTTTAATTTTTATGAAAAAAAATTCATTCTTTTTTGTGGGATTTTTTTTTTTTTTTTTTTTTTTTTTTTTTTTTTTTTTTTTAAAAGAGTAAGTTTTGAGAGGAGAGAAAGAGGGCTATGGCGTTGGGGTCTATATTTTGTTGCGGCAAGGGTTTCGATCGGTATGTTTATTTTTTATTTAATTTTTTTTTTTAAAAATGTGTTTGTCAGTTTTAATTTTGGAAAATTGTCTAAAAATAATACGAAATTATTGATGTTATATGCAAAACATATGAACTGAGCTATATATTGTATCAATAATTAAGACTTTGAATTACATGAACTGAATTAATATGTTACATGTATGTGCTCTGGCAATTATTTAATCAAGTACTATTAAATGTAGCTAAATTGATTTAGCTTATTTAACTGTTCTACATGATGGTCTTGTTAAGTCAATGTTTTTTTAAGCTCAATTTGCAAGTAATTATTGTTACAAATAATTATTGTGATAAATTTCTTTACAGGTTAATTATTATTTGTAGATGGATTCAATTATATTTTGTCAAATTGTTAAAATACTTTAGAAAATTGTACAAAACTATATGGGTTATAATTTTAGTTAGTGACAAAGCTTGTTTAATAAGTCTGTTGTTGGTCTATTCAATTAAACCTGACAACTTGTTGCTCCTGTGCTCCATTTTGTTGAATAGTATAGTGGTTTTTGGGAAGTTTGAGTAATTTTTGGTTAAAGATGTTGAATTTGGTGTGATTAAGATGATACAGATTAAAACAGGATGCTTAGTCCATATTCGATAGAGAGAAAAATTCCATTCGCTCTTAACGAAAGAATGAGGGGTTTATGGAATGTGGGAAAATAGTGGGGTGGTAGTGAGTGGGTGGATGAACCAGGCATTTCTCTAGATAAAAGGTCATTTTATTGAAATTAAATTTTTGCATATGAAGTGAAACATGAACATGTCAATATGATCTTAAGTGTGTGTGACTTTGTGTAATGAATCGACCTAAGAGGGGACGAGGGGTATTATAGGTAGCGTATAATAAGTATGTTAGGATCAGCTAGAAGTTGTTTTAATAATGAGAGAAGATTAGGGAGAGATCATTAGGATGAGAGTTCTCATTTAGGTTTATTTTTTAATTTGGGAGAGTGCAAGCCTCTTGAATGCGGTTTGTGCTTATCTGTTACTTGTTCACATTTCCAATTCTTCAATCATAATCACCATCTTTTCGCATTGAATCAACATCATCTATCCAGAAATGTCAGTTCATACCAGTGTGGGATGATATTTTAGCTTAAGATGTTCTGTAGAAGCTTCTTCCCTTTCTGTCTGTATATATATTTAAAATCTGGTAGGTAGTAACTGCTCTTATTCTCTAACTTTTATGGTTTCTTGCTTTCTTCCCCTGCCCCTTGAAAGTGTATTATCCAAAAATACTTGTGCTTGTTTTCTGCTTGCAATGGCGTTGAATGTTAAATGCTGGTGTAAAAACTTTTGCAGGAAAAAGAAGGAAGAAAATAAGGCAGCATGGAGGATATTTTCTTTAAAGGAATTGCACGCAGCTACAAACAATTTTAACTATGACAATAAACTTGGAGAGGGTGGATTTGGAAGTGTGTACTGGGGTCAGCTATGGGATGGTTCACAGGTATTGAAGAACTTTGCTAGTTTCTCTTATGCTCCTTTGCTGAGAACACAAATGGGATGTTTTGAGTTGAATTTGTGGTAGTCTATCTACTAGTGTTACTTAGCCTACAGCATTCTGTTATATTGGCATATAAGTTTAAATATTTTTAGTTTTCAGTCTTGTTTTTGAAATTGCTAGCTAGCACCCGGTTGTACTGAACCCTTATTGGCTTTGGTGTTTCAGTCTAAAAGTCTGTCTTGTGAGTTTATTTATAAACCTAAAATATACTTGTATAAGCCATGTTATATAAGGCCTTACTGCCCAACCCCTGTTACTGCTGCAAGCCTGCAGCATCATTCAACATTTTGTTAGTAATTGACCTGATTGTCTCTTGTATATTGGGGTGATGTAAGGGAATGATTAGGAAAGGTGGTAAAAAAAACCCTGTGTGTATGAAAACTTTCATATTGCTTCTATTTGAAAAGCATACAGCTATGAAGTGTACTAAAATTGAAAGAAAGGTGGCATGGTGGCTTTCTAACTAGAGAATTAGTAGTTGACAGTTTCAATTGGCATGTTGGACAGTGCATTTTCTTGTGATTTTTCCATTAAAACAAGAAGGACTTGGTCTTGTGATGCTCAATCCGGGCTGCGGGAAAACGTATTCATGATTATATACATGTAAAGTGTCACAAACTCTATGTTTCTTCCCTCGAGTAAATATAGTCACTCAAATCTCCCTCTTTCTGCTTTCGTAGTCTTTAGACTCTTTACTAGTATGAAATCAGGTCTTTGAAATGAGTTTCTGGGTTAAATGTGTAGACAGTGGGTTAGTTCAATGGTTTGGGAATTTGAGGAGGGAAGAACCATAAGCAACACCACCTCGTCTTTAGTGGAATATTTTGGGAAAAATGGAATGGTATGCTTTTCTGTGCTTTTTCACTAGGATGCTGCAGAGTTATTCAGAAGAACATGAAAGTCTTTCACTTCTTCCTATAGAATATTTTCCACAAATCAGGCTAATTTTCAATTTTCTCAAGCCCATCCAAAAGCCATTGTACTCCACTTGCCATTTATTAATATTTTTTTTTCACTTTTTCATCAGTTTTGTTTAGACCAAATAATTCATATGTAAGCATTTTGCTTGCTTATACTTACAGAATCACTTATCTGGTTATTTGAGCTCAATGGCAGTGCAGAATTTGGTTCTCATTTTTGGTGAAAATTATAATTATAAAAGGAAGCTTTTAAAGAAAAGTGTCTTGCAATTGTGCTAGTTTGAGATTTGAATGAGAGAATTATTTTCTGCATTATCAAACATAAATATGAAAATCTTTGGAATGATTACTTGTGCACAATCTTACCGTAGAGAATGCTGATGAACTGTTGTGTATGTTTAGGGGATGATTCACTCTGCACTCTGCATAGGTTGATTGAATGCAGAATTCCATGAGAATATTTAATTGTAGGCTGGAAGATATGAGAACTTGGTCCACGCTGGAATAATGGGTCAAGTGTCTAGTGCTCTATGCTCTTGGAATAAAATATATGGTTTTTGCAAAACTTAGTCCCCTTCTGTCATTGGGCCTACGCTGTAGTATCAAATCTGCTAGCCATTTTAGTGTGTCTCTTAATGAAGCAGACACAGTGCACAGTCATCCCATTCTTTCAATGTGAGATAAGTCACCTGATCTTCTAATTGCATAGTTTGGAATTTGGTAATAATTCTACAGTGTTGCCTACATGACCATGAATTTGTTTTGGGGCCATAACTAATAGGCTAGCAGGCATGGCAGTGTGTCAGAATAGGTAACTAATGGAAGATTGCAGGTTGGAGACTTGTACTGTTTCATATGATGTTGTCACTTGTTAGTGATATTACTCTAGAATTAGAATTTAAACGTCTCCTGTGTGGAAAGCAGTATGTAGTGTAGCTTTTTCATTGAATCAAAATTCTTATGAATTAGGAACTTAAGATGTTCTGGAAATAGTATTGTTTAGCAACCATGCTAACTTGAGGACCTACTTCGGTGGCTGATGGATGTTATGTTGATAATATGGCCTGATGTGTCATTCCAACCTGAAGATGCAGGTGTTGGAATGACTGTCTGAAGCCCGAACTTTTAATCCACTTAGAAAAATAAAATTATCTTCACTGAGTTATTGAAGCTTGATATGAGAAAAATGAAGTCATGCTTTTAATATGAAAACAGATATATTGCAATAACTTGCTCATGTTGTCAGACATGAGCTAAAATTGACGAGTTGCTTCAATGCCGCTTTTTTACTCTTCCTATTATCTATGGTCGCTGCAACCTAGTATAGGTGTTTTTAAATTTTTTTTGACGCTGCAGTTGTTTGATCACATCAATATTGGGATCTCTTGTCAGATTCCAGGCATGTTTAGAGAGTCATGTTTATAGTTTTATATAACACATTTATGTTTGTACTCCCTCTGTCCTAAAGATATTGTCCCCCCCCCCCCCTTTTTTTTTAATTTTTTTTATTTACTTTTCCCTGTTTATTGTCCTCTTTGGTTAGTGAGTGCAATTTTTATCCTATCATATACTTTGTATATTTTTCTTCTATACTGTTGATTAGATTCAATTTAATATTTATACTCAACATTTATAACAGCTAACAATCTAACATGGCGGGAGACTTCTTATTTACTTGGCGGCTTGTATTTAGTTGGTTCTGCTGCCTGTTCTTTTGTCCTTACTTCTAAAGTATAACTACAATATTACTGAGTGATGATTGTTGTTTGCAGATTGCGGTTAAAAGGTTGAAAGTTTGGAGTGATAAAGCAGAATTGGAGTTTGTTGTTGAGATTGAAGTTTTAGCAAGAATACGACATAAAAATTTGCTGACTCTGCGCGGCTATTGTGCTGAAGGACAAGAGCGACTCATTGTGTATGATTTTATGCCTAATTCAAGTGTATTATCCCATTTGCATGGACAGCATTCTGCAGAATGTCTTATTGATTGGAAAAGAAGAATGAACATTGCCATTGGATCTGCGGAGGCAATTGTGTATGTCACTCGATTGTTTATTCAAACTAATGTCTATTGTCCTATTCTGTCCTCCTTTCCCCTGATTTCCTCTCTTTAAGGAAACCTCACGCTTGGCTTATTGCAGATACTTGCACAATCATGCAACACCACATATAATCCACCGAGACATTAAAGCTAGCAATGTTTTGCTAGACTCTGATTTTCAGGCAAAAGTTGCTGATTTTGGGTTTGCCAAATTTATTCCGGATGGTGCAACGCATGTAACCACAAGGGTGAAGGGCACACTTGGATACTTAGCCCCTGAATATGCCATGTTAGGGAAGGCATCAGAGAGTTGTGATGTATATAGCTATGGAATTTTGCTGCTGGAAATTGCAAGTGGCAGAAGAGCTCTTCAGAAGCTGAACTTGACATCAAACCGCTCAATCACTGACTGGGCTCTTCCATTGGCCCGTGAGGAGAATTTCAGAGAACTAGCAGACCCGAAACTGAATGGAAATTTTGTTAAAGATGAGCTGAAAAGATTGATTGTGGTTGCTCTGGTGTGTGCTCACAAAAAGCCTGAGAGAAGACCAACGATGCTCGAGGTGGTGGAACTTTTGAAGGGAGAAGCCAAAGAAAAATTAGCCAATCTAGAAAACAAGCTGTTTAATAGTTGGAAATCTGCTGATGATAAGGACGAGATTAAAGAAGATAACACAGACTCTATATCAGAGAAGAAAGACGATACTCCTAAAACTGAATCTAAAGTTGCAGAAGCTGTACAAGAGGAGAAAGATGTTGCTTCTAAATCAGAATTTAAAGTTGCAGAGTCTATATCAGAGGAGAAAGATGATACTCCTAAACCGGAATATAAAATATCTGATTCTGGATCCGAAAGTGCACAGGAGCGCTGAGGGAACTTTTAGAGTGAGTATACATGGTGTCATGTCATCAAAAGTTTGTGTTTAACAGACTACGGTGTTGAATATGGCTCTCTTGACAGAAAGTAGTAGCACAACTTCTGGTTGCTAGTATAGTAGCTTTACTCTGGGTTGATATATTGATGCTCTAGGTATGTTTGTGCCGTAGATCTTTGTTCTGGTTTAATACTCTTATTGTACGGGTTTGCCTGATGCATTTTCCTTCATCCTTCTCGGGCCTTCCTCTCTTCTTTTCTTTCGTGTGCTGGAGCTTTCAACACTAATCCTGCGTGTTTGTCTTTGGGGGTGAGATAGAAACTTTGAGTCTAACTGTATATGAGCTTTGTTAATATTTTTTCTGAGTGTCAATTTTTGTTTTTGCTCACTTTTTCTCAATTGTGGTATAAATGTGTTTTTGAATGTCCAATTTGTGATTTGCATTTGCTCACTTTTCTCAACTCTGGTATAAATGGTTTTTGCTCACTTTTTCTCAACTTTGCTCATTTGTTTTATTCTAACAAAATGTCTCATACTTCATTTTAAAAAAAAGTTATATCACTTTGCAAATAGCGAACTTCTAGACAAGTTTTTGGAGATGATAGAGATAGAAAGAATAAATAAAAAATAAATAAATAAACAATTTTTTTTTTAAAAAAAGAGGTGAATTCATGTGATGGAAGAGAGATAGAGAAAGTTTATTAACTAAAACCAAAAGAGTTTATTAACTAATAACAAAAGTGATATAACTAATTTATAATTTTACCTCTGTTATAGGTTATGTGCAACAATTAGACATTTTCCCTCTCTGATTTATGTCAAATCGTTGCACATAAGCTGTAACGGAGGTAGTATATTAGCTATTAACATAATACTTGAATCGAACAGGTGAGTGAAGCTTTGGGTAAATTCTTCAATGTGTTCTCGACCAACATCTGATCTGGAATCGGATCTCCTGCTAAACATATGACCAGTTCCTCCAAAACTATTGCATGCCTTAGGAGAAACTGGATCATTCCAACTTCACGTTCTAAACCATAGTATTTCCTTACCAGTATTTTTCTGAGATGAAACCTGCAACAAAGAGGGACTTCATGATCAGTACTATAAAACTCTCTTTCCAACTCCAGTTCCTCTTTGTTAGATGAAACGAATCTGGCATCATAATCCTTAGTGAACCCCTACAACATAAACAACAATAACAAAATTAATTTCTTGTAAAAAAAAAACCTCATTTAGAGTAAGATACAATAGTCATAATACTATAACCACAAACCTCTGAAAAATCAAGAACTTCTAATACAGGTGAACAGTTGAGAAAGGGTAACAACAGTTTATTCCAGTAGTTGTTTCGAGCAGCAACATTCAGCTCTAGATGTTTCAGATTAGGAAACACCGGCAGCTGATCCTTTAAGACCTTTTCATCCACCGAGTCTAACTCCTACAACCACAGGTAAGCCAACTGGTTAATTCTACCATTTCCGTTAATTTTTAGTTGCAACAAAGGGTTATTACTACCTCCAGTTCAATTTACTCGTAACAAAGGGGTATTATTTGTGAGACATAAAAAATTCCCTTGTTGCGAGTAAATTGGACCGGAGGTAGTATTTAGGAGACATAAAAAATTCCTCGTTGCAACAAAAATTAACCGAGGTAGTACATTCTTCTTTCACAACAAAACTAAGAAAAAATTAGAGAGTGAGTCATACCCACAATATAAGGCCTTGCAACGACAAACGTTGAACATAAGAAAAAGGTCTGATGAGGCCAATCATTTGCGGAAAAGATTCACCAAATTCTAAGCACTGTGTTACCACCAGAACTGCTTCAACAAGACAATGCATTACTCGGATGTAGTAACACATTGCTAAATTATCGCGGTAATCAAGGTACTCCAGGCTGGGAGTATCGATAATCACCAAGTCAGTGTTATGTTCATCAAAAGCATCACATTTAGGCATACTTAAACACATTCTTCTAAGGGAAGTCGACCTAATATCTGTGATGTAGACATAGTTCGTAAAGGCTTTGAATGTAAGGTCTTCAAGTACAGGGCAACTTGAAACTAGCCTCGGCAGGAATCTATCAACAGAAATAAAAGACGCGAACAAGAGAAGTAATTTCAAGTTTGGAAGACGGTAAGATGGCATGTTATAAACATGATCAAGGCCAATGTTGAACTCAAGCTTCAGCACTTCCAACGTTTCACATGTGAAAATAGCTGGAGGTAGCTGAGAATCACCAGGTTCGCTCACCAGAATACAGAGGTCAAGCTCCCTAAGGCCACAAAGGGTCAATGGATAAGAGATCCACGCATTAAGTCGCGCAGATTTTAAGTCAGGGAGACAACCTTGCTTACACTTACCAAAATAGCAACCATCAAAGAACACTTTATCAAAGTCCCCGCTGCTGACTTTAAGTCTAAACTTGGTGAGATACCGCGATTGGTGTGCTTGGAGTACATCATCAACAAAGCTCACGAAAGTGGGGAAACGTTGAATTGCATTAGGATGTTGCAAACAAAGTGATATAGGTGAAACATTGAAGTCAAGGCACGTAATTAATGAGAAAACACGCCTCAATCTCCTAGACAAGACGGAAGTAGCAGCAGCATCCTTAGCGGGAAGCAAAGAGAGGATCTGATTTAACAATTCATCAGGCAAACAAGTGAGCCTATCTACCAACGATTTTCTATCATTGTGGTTTTGGACATCCCACACAGTAGTATAAGTTGCAGTACATGGTTTCAAGCTCCAATCCATGCACCTTCACCCTCAAGAGCAGCGATTCCTGCTCTCGATAAATAAATGATTATATCAGATCATACAGCCATTGCATTGCAATTCTGTTACCACCTAACTCGATACCAAAAGGTCGAAGCTAGCAAGAATTTGTATAAAAGCAACTGCCTTTCTGAAGGAAGAGTTATTATTAAAGTATTTATACAAAACCTAACATCATAAGATAAGAAACCATCTTTCTAAAAGATATACTTGTACATTCTAATGATAATATCAATATGGAAAATATATCACACATATATTTTCCGATATTGTATATATCTCATAGTTTTAATTTCTTACAAGCAACTTGATAGATTTTGGTGCCTGAGTTTATTTTAGATTTTATATTGGTTTTCCAGCTGAGCTCTAGTAGTACCGGAATAGTACTCTATTTTTTTAGTACTGTATGTAATGTACCTGATTGCCTAATTTCACTTGTTGCTAAAAGATTGTTGTTTGGACTTTATAGTTGTTTAATTTGAGAATATCACCTCATTTCCCATACGAACATAAATATGGTTATAAACCAAATTCAAAATTTTCCGTATTCATTTATGTACAGCTACTATAACCAGTCAAGAAGTGCTACAAATGCTGTATTTTACATGTATTCAACAAAACGGTACAAGTCTGAAGGGCTAATACTAGAGAAAGTTGTCAAAACAAATGGTGAACTAACTCATACTAACTCTGGAGGGTAAATGCGAAGAATTAAGTAAAGGTGTCCTCTCTATCTCCTTCTGCAATATCAGCGTCCTCCATGTTGCTGAACTCTAAGTAGTGTGTAGGGCGGTGCTCTTCATGGTAATACTCTTTAGGAGTCCCAAGCTTGATTCCGTATTTCATGCTAGGGGTGTGCTTAACCCCCATGAAATTATAGTTCCAAGGACCAGTATCAGGAGTCTGAAAAAAGAGTGATTCAAAGAATAAGCACCATAAAAAATAATCTTAACAGGAATTCAATTAAAACAATCTGCTTATAATAAGATTTTTCAAACTTATCAAGAGCTTACCATATAGAAGCCGAGGAACCGATCACTTAGCAGCATCTGAACCTTCTCATAATGAGTAGGTAGATAGCCATGGGGATTGCAGCCATTATCTTTATTTGCACGTCCCCACTCATATCCTGACGGGGTAAGCTTGTAGGCAGTCAGTGAACAAGAACCAGGAGTAAAACTGCAAGTAAGAATGATACACTGCTCCCCATCCCACTGCTTGTTGCTCTCCAAAATACGAGCATGACTAGTTACATCCTGCATTTGATAATGGGTCAGGTTATAAGAATTGGGAATTTAGAAAAATAATGTTACGTGGGATGAAACCTACGAATATTAGAGTACCTGAGGTGATAGCTGAGGAAGTTCGTTTGGCTGTGTATGCATCCACCCCAAAGGTTCCAAATCATTCAAGAAATCATGCTCAGGCAATTGAGAAGGAAGATTGACCTGTTGATGAGTTCCCCATTGTGGTGGCATTGCAACACAGCGAATCTCTTTAACCTGAGGATTATCTGGGGGGCTTACACCATACAAGTAACCTGCAATCTGGGTCCTCAGATCTGCTATGCATATGAACTTCTTCAGAATGTTCTTTGGCATGATATATGTATATCCCGTTTCCTATTTTGAAAAAAGAACAGGTTGGTCAACACAGATCATATCCAAAAATAGCAAACCACGTGCAGATGTGCAAGCACAGGTTGAAAGAAAGAAGCATACATCTATTTATTTGGCTGAAGATGGGATAAGGAAAAAGGACACTAACCTTTATATCCTCCGAGTTTACATAAATATGATTCACACGCAGATAGAGATTTGTTGCAGATATCGCTCTGACACGCCAATCAGTCTTAGAGCTAAATGCTGCCTGCTCATAAGGACTTGTGGTAGTGACAATTAATTCCTCACCATGCACATTGGAAGTCTTTGTTGTAACCGCTGTCAATTGACTAGAGGCCTTTGCCTGGAGAATGAATCAGTGAAGGGGCACATTAGAAAAAATATTTAAGAAATATTATAATGTAGAAGACAAGGGGGAGGGACAGGCAGATTTTAATGGAAACTACACGGAACAAAACCAGTATACACACCTGCTTCTCAATCTCAGCAATCTGCTGTCTCTGCTGAGACGGAGGGGTAATCTCTGCCCCAAGGATGATATCACGTATTTCAGACTGCGTCAATGCCGAGGTGTTCACATTGTTCTTCTTGGCATAGTCAGAAAGTATGAGGTCTCTCAAAGCAACTTCAACCTGCATAAATTGATAAATTGGACTTAGTTGCATGCTAACTTGAGCAATTGCATACAAGTATACAACTCATATGAAGATTGAACAAACTGTGACAATTTGCAAGCACTTTCCTAGATACTAAATGCAATAATCAAAGGGATCATTTCAGCAAAGTACCTTCATCCATTGATCATCAGTGAGAGAAGGCCAAATATGATGAGGTTCAGTGACCACAGTCCTGTCAGGTTTCAGCAACATCTTTGCCTTCTCATTGTTGACATGAAGTGCCCGGAGTATGAGGATAAGCCGAGAGAAAGCAGTATATGATGAAATGCTTTTCAACCAATCATCATATATGTTGAACAGAACCATTTGTGGTTCTGTAGCCTTTAAGATGAGATCACCAAATTTCTCAATCTTTAAGCAAGCCTGGAAAGGAAGTTGCAGTTCACTTCCTTTGATAACTATATTGGGAAAATCAAGCAAATGGACCTCCAAAGGATCCAACATTCCTTTACGGGTCACAATAATTTGCTTTGGCTGTTCTTCAACAGGTAAAGACCGGACAAGGGCCGCAACTTCTTCAGCTGTTTTCCACTTGGCCAGCTGACCTAGACGCTTCTGTCCAGCCCATACACTAGTGTGAATAACCTGCCAAGAGATCAACAGAGTGTTAAAATCTCAGATGCAAGAAAAGGCAAAGCGAAATAAAGCCAAGTGATGTAGATATAATTAAAATCACTGGGCCAGGTCTTACCTTCAAAAATAGCTGTCCAGTCCGGGGATTAAATATGAATATAGCACCATTGATGGGTTTTGTGGTAAGATTTCCTTCAAATGTTTTATGAATTGTCACACGATAGACATTAGTATCATCAACAAACCATATAATCTGATTACTAAATATCTCCCCGTAATTCTGGGAAGACAGATAAGGCTCAGTAGGTTCAGAAGAGTACAGCTGAAGACCCTTCCTTATACGCTCTCTCAGGACATAAAGTGCGGGGTTTGACTGCACACAAAAAATATCATCAGACAATTCCAAAAAGGTTCACAGTAAATGCTAATATACACAAATAAAAATTATAGCAAGTGCAAACCTTCATGATCTTGTTCATAGCTTGTGCAATCAGAGGTTTAGAACCAGGGAACCAGTTACCAAAAGCCGAATGCAAGTTGTAAGCCAAATCAAGAGCAATCATAACTCCCATGGGCGATGGATAAATGGACATGTTATCAGTTGTGTAGTCCAAGAACTTTGCTCGGGTATATCGCTCAATATCATGAGAGTCATAATCACCCCAACGAAGCTGCACATCTACCCAATATTTATTGCTTGCCTTCTGGTCAAATACATCTTTTGTCTCTGCCACCAAACTGGGTTTCGACATCGGCCACCTATGAGCAGCAAACAGAAGTATATCTGCACAACTACTGTTCATTTTATAACTTTTTCTGGGATGGATTGTCTCCTTCTGAACCGTCTCAATTTCTAAAGCATCTAGCTCCTGATCCAGAACTTGACAAAGATCCATGACAACACTTTCATGGATCTTTTGCCATAAATGTGCACGGAATATCTGAATCAAAGATATCTTCAAAGTTGGAATCTTTCCATGCATAAAAATTCCAGTCAGATCAAGCTGAACTTGGAAACCCACATAGACATTAGCACGATTTATTGTAGGAGACCACCAGAGTGTAAATCTACGATTGGGAATCTGGTTCAAACCAGATCGTTGTGCATTAGTCAGCTTCTTATACTTCATGGACTCCTCAAAACCAGATGCCTTCTCCCAGAAGAGACCCTCCCATGTTGGAAAGTATGTTCCCTTAAACAGAGTATGCTCCAGAATACCTTCCACTCCCCCTAGAGCCTGAATGACATCAGTTCTGTAATTGTTCAAGTTCCAAAGTTTTCCATCGTGCCTCTGATGCGTCCACCAGAAAGGATTTTGCTTCAAAACCTGATATTGCTTGAAATCAGTACGAACTCTCCAACCTTTATCATATGCTAAAGTATGACGATCCTTTTGAAACAAGGTATTTATTCGAGGTATTCCACGATCCCAAGAATCTTCCAGATCCTCCAGGGTTAAACGCCGATTCTGCGACTGTGCTTCTTGCCTCTTCAATGCATACTCAGCCCAAACACGCTGCGAATCAATGAACTCGCTCTCCCACGGCTGTATGTATCGGTAGAGATTCGGAATCAGCTGGTCCTCTTCATGGCTCATACCACTCCTGAAGTGGGTTACACCCACATCGGTTTGTCTACTGTAACGTAGGTCACTCTGTGGAATCAAGATGTGACCCATTGACAGCATTCCAAGCCCTCCGATTTCCTTTGGAGTGTAGAAGATGACAGGAGGAAACCTGCTAGGCATTTTGGAGTTCAATCCAATCTTAATACGAGTTTGGATTTTGTTCTCACACTTCACCAGCAAGTCTAAGAGCTCTTGAGTATGTACAGTCGCCTCACGGAAGTAAGTCATGAGACCGATAAGGGCAGTGTTCCATTTGTTGACTATTTTCGTGAATGTCGTAGAGCCAGAAGACATAAGAATCTGCCGCACCCGATTCTCAAAGACTTTCATATGTTCATCATCAACCCTTAAGAAAGCAACAGCAGTTCGCTCTTTGGTCTGCTCATTTTGCAAGTTCCAAACCCCATCTTTGGTGTTACTAAATGCTTCTTGTGTCATTCTAATCTTAGGCATTATCCGCACCTCAAATCCACACATGC